TTTGAAAAGCTACCACCATCACAATCCTGCCTCACACACAGACAAGCTCTGCTGCAGAACTGGATGCCTGGCCCATACCATCCCAGTCTGCAAAAGGGGCCCCGACTAGCACGTGAAAAGAAAAATGCAGTCAATAAAAAGACAAGAGAACATCTGAGGTAACCATCACCAAGAACACCTACAGAGCTCTGCCCCCGCCGCCCCGCCAAGGCAAATCTCTCAAACAGTGGGAGGCCTGAGGCACCAAGGTTGCCTCTCAAAGTTGCAACAACCGAAGGTAGCCTGGAGAAAGAGAGGGGAAGATTTACATGCTGCCTTCCCCACTTCAGCAGCTGATTTGAACCTACAAAGGTCTCCCCACCACTACCTCTTGTATCATTGCAGCCAAGAAGGCACAAGAGAGAAACCCAGCAACCTCAGAGCTGATTCAGCAGAGGACCTTGCCAATTAATAGTTCTTTTGACTCTTGTGTCTTCAGCCATTCTCTGCTTCTCTACAACCTACTTTTTAATGAGAGAGATGGGGAGAGAGAGGGAGAGGGAATGAAGGTACAGTATGTGGTGATTACAGGGGTGGGTTTCAGCCGGTACGCATTGGTATGCCCTTACCCGTTCGTGAAATTTAGTGTGTCTTCCCATACCCGTTCTTCTGGAGGCTGCGTACCGGAATGCTCCCTCCCAGGCCCTGCCCCCTTGCTCGCTTCCCCCACCCAACCAATCGCTGCTTACTCGCTCGCCTGTCTGCCCCAGGCTTGCCCCGCCCATCCACTTCCTTTGCCGGAGCGGAGGATTAGGAGAAGCCCATATGGGGTGCACACCCTTCTTTTTGACAGCCACCTCATTTCCAATTGGGGGGGGGGAATCCATGCAGAGGGAGGAAAAACATGGATTTCTCCCCACCCCCGACACTGGAAACCAGGCGGCTGTCAAATAGAAGGTAGTGCACCCCATGTGGCTTGTTCAAACAACCGAAGAAGGAACAGGAGGGGAATTTGGCTGTTAGAAAAGCCCACATGGTGTGCGCGCCCTTCTCTTTGACAGCTGCCTCGTTTCCAATTAGGGGTGAAGAAATCCATGTTTTTCCTCCCTCTGCATGGTTCCCCCCCCTCCAATTGAAAACGAGGTAGCTGTCAAAGAGAAGAGCACACACGGCACGTGGGCTTCTCCCAATCCTCCGTGCGCGTGAATGATGTCAGGTTGGTCACACCCACTCAGTCCCATGCCCCGCCCCCATCTAGCCATGCCCACCGTACCGGATGTAAAACATTTTGAAATCCACACTGGTGGTGAAGTACTGACATGAGTGAGCCCAAGTTCCACTTTCTGCTTGGCCCAAAGTCACGGTCTCCTTTGCCTTTGCCCATTGTTTGCCATTGTCTCATTAGATCAGTGGTGGGCAATTAATTTTACCCAGGGCCACATGGGACTGTTTTGGAAGCTTGAAAGAAGAGGGCTGCACACACCACACATGTAAACTGCAAAAAAGAATTGCAGTCACCTCAAAATAAAAGCAAAGCAACTGTATTGTGTGCATGGAATACACTTATTTCCATTTGATTTCTAATTTCTGACCTGATGTGGGCCAGATAGGGAAAGTTAAAAGGCCAGATGTGTCCTGGGGAGGCCATCAAATGCCCAGGTCTGCATTAGACCCTAAAATCTCAATTGGGAGAAAAATATCTAAAGCACAAATGACTCCCCATCCCATCTTTCTGCTTTCTTGGGTCACAGCAATTAACACTGAACCTATAAACTCTGTTCACATGGCACCTGATGAGCTCAAATTTGGATTTCTAGTTTACATCTGAGCCACAGCAAGATCACAACTTATCAGGAAGTGAGCCATTCATGACAAGAGGTGCATGCATGATCCGCCCTACCCCAAATCAAATCAAGAAGTACACCTCCAAAGTGCAGTTCTATTGTGAGATATGTTGCGCTTACAAACACATCTCTGTGTTAGAAGCTATACAATCTTAAATTTCTGAGGTCTTTACCTTGACTTTCCCGCTCTGTCACTAACACACTTCTTCTACTACTACCTGGCTATATTTCAGTCATGACTCAATTATGACTCTGCTGGTTGAAGTACTGGCTTAAACAAATGAGGGGAGGGGGAATGCAAATCTTTAGCTCAATTAGTTTTGAAAGACAGCACCAGTCTTCTTGAAATAAGGAAATAATAGATGATCCAAGTCTCCATCCATGCTAAGCTTCAGTGAAGCTCAGAAAGAATTCAAGCATGGACATTTAGATTTTGATTTACCAAGAGAGAAACAACATTTGCCATCACTGCTACAGTAATTTCACACACCCTTCTTTTTAAATTCTCCCAATATCTTTATCATTTATCAGTTCCATCTCACAGGAGGGCCTTGATATAAGCTCATTTGAATGGAAATAAAATGGCATTCCTTACCAAGAGCATTCACGTTATTTGCTCAGACTTTAAAAATGGTATGGTAGCTTATGTACTTTTGGAATGCCCTATATCAGTTTTGGAGGGCAGTGCTAATCTCCCCTCTGTTTGCAAACTGTTCAGACCAGTCTCATATGGTAGTTATGTACTACTTTAATAAATGACAAGGATTGAGAAGTCTCTAGAAATGCAGCCAAATTTACTACTGTGGCAAGTAGAAGTTTTTGATTGCTTCTTTGGGTATATCTACTTAAGGGACAAATGGGTTTTTTATTGGATAGGTATGCATTGTGCTGTTTTAACTTCTATGTTTGGTCGGTGACAATATTTTTTAAGACTTAAAATATGCCCTGCAAAGAGTCTGGGACTGATGGTGTGCTGAGAAAGCCCCAGGGTTACCATGGTAACCCTGGAATCCTGAACCAGGCAACATTAGCATAGCTACCAGTATAATTGTTCTGAGATTCTCCAAGAATAGAGAGACTATTTCTAGTCCACCAATCTAGTCCACCAACAAGGCCCTTATTCCATTTTGTAGGGGTGGAGGCCTGGTGAGACAAATCTATAGGATTTCTATAGATGACCGCAACCCTTCCTTGATCCTCCACATATACAAACACCAGATAGCAGCCCAGGAGTCAGTACACAGGTTATCTCATAAACTTAGTCCAGGTGGAAAGAAGTGTAGGAAGAAGCATTTCAGAGTGTTGAACATAACTCCATTTTAATTAACTCACTATAAATAAGGCTGGGAAATTCCTATGATAGTTTCCAATACACTGCATTTATCCCATATCTTACTGAAATCTTACACTTCCCATTTCCTTGGTCTTGCCCAGTTTGGGGGGGTGGAGTATATAGTGTATTAGTACTATCTTATTCCAGCATTTTCTAAAAGAATCACAAAGTGAGAGGGGAAGTCAGCATGGAAACCCCAGGATTTTATCAGAGTGAGAAGTCTGAAACATCCTGATCCTGGAACTCTTAGATAATGTACTTATTCCCTTTCAGCATCTTTCTCTTACTTTCCCCTTAGGAAAAAGTAATAGCAATAGCACTTAGACTTATATACCACTTCACAGTGCTTTACTGCTCTAAGCAGTTTACAGAGTCAGCATATTGCCCCCCAACGATTTGGGCCTCATTTTATCCACCTCAGAAGGATGGAAGGCTGAGTCAACCTTGAGCCTGGTGAGATATGAACTGCCAAATTGCAGGCAGCTGACAGGCAGAAGAAGTAGCCTACAGTACTGCATTCTAACTACTGCGCCACCGTGGCTTATAATCATATAGCCATGCAAGAATATCCACACAATAGATAACTATGCCAACCCACTTACTTTCTTCTAGAATACTTCAAGTTCTCTCGTGCTGATGGCACACCACTGCTGTCATCTCAAAAGGAGGATAAAATTATAAGTTATTGTTTTACAAAGCAGCCCATTATTCATTCTGGATAAATGAGCTGATCAAGGAAGGCTTGTCACTAACAACTGTCAGTGGGTATGCAACTCTACAGTTTTCTTTAAGGCCACACAAGTATTTACTAACTGCATGCATGGATTTCACTTAAGGAAAAAAGGGTGCACTATAAAGCTTGTATACTCAATTAAGATTCACTAAATAGGTTGCAGTTACTTTTGAGAAAGCTATGTAGGATTTGGGGACATCATTGCAATTTTATCCATACTTACTTAGAAGAAAACTCATATAAAGCACTAGGATTTGCCTCTATCAGACTGAAAGTATCAAACTAGCTGGCAACAAGTTCCTTTTTTGTGTTTGGAACCCTTGTGTTTGCACTCTTCTTGATGAAAAATAAATGTGGCTCATTTGAAAACTATAATTTTATTTTTAAACTATTTACATTTCCAAAAGAGAAGCCAGATGTATGCATTAATATTATATAAAGCTTTCCTGACCTATCATGGATCAGTCCTAAGATGCAGGTATAGCTCATGATCCCTATTTTATAAAATGTGTGTGTGTTTGGGGGGGGGAGGAAGGAGGGAGGGAAAATGCATATGATGGGGGAATTTAAACATTTCCTTGACAGCAGAACATTCCTCTGCAAAGTCATGTAATGGAATTTCAAGATAATCCAATTCATACTTAACAGACCATGTGGATTAGTACAACATAAGACATAAATTATATAACAGAGCTGGCTTGGGTTTCCAAAGTCCATAGGACCATCTTAACCATTAACAAAAATAAAAATAAAAACAAACCCCAAGGATGATAAATGATGCTCCCAGCAAAATGACAGAATGGCAAAGCAAGGGCCTTTCAGAGGAGCTGGACTGCAATTCCCCATTACCTACAACCAGAACTCTGAAATGGCAACTGTAATCCAAAGCATGTGGAGACAATCAGGTTATAGAATTTAATGGTGTGTCTTCTATTGTGGTTTTTCTTTGGATCACCTATCATCATGTTAGGAAAAAGAACATCAGTCCGTTTCTCATTCTTCATTTACATTTCTAGTGGAAAGAATGATTAAATTCAAATTATAAGCATGGATTGCATTAAGGCTAAGAGAGAAGGAGACAACTTTGTGAAGAAAACACCGGGTTTCTCACCTCTATGGTAGGGTCATACTCATCAACAAAATGATTCTGAATCAGCTGAATAGTCAATGCACTTTTCCCAACGCCTCCTGCTCCAACCACCACCAGTTTGTACTCTGTCATCTTCTGAGCTACCCCAGCTCAGGGTCTGCTCACGACACAAGTGCCTGGAAACAAAATGAATAAATAAAAGCATATGAAGATCATAAAGATCAGGCAAAGTGTTTCTTCCCATATCCCAAATGATTGTCAATCATGCTACATTACCCCCCCAAAAAAGCCCCCAGAAATAACTACAGCAAAGGTACTGGAAGTCAGAGCTGTAGCTGCAGATAAGTACCGTATTTTCGGAGTGTAAGCCGCACCAAGGTTTTGAAGAGGCAAATAAAAAAAAAGTTTTTGCACTCTGCAAACCTCCCCAAAATAGCCTGGTTTTTTTTTTGTGAAAATGGGCCCGTTTCCCCCCCCCCCAAAAAAGAGGCATGGATAGCCTTTAGGGGGCTTGCAGAGTATTCCTGGGGGAGATGCAAAAACGAGCAAAAAAGGCCAATTTTTCACGAAAATGGGCTCGTTTTTTTGTTTAAAAGCTTATAGAATGCTCCTGGGGGCTGGGGAGGGTAAAATTGAGTAAAAAAGGGGCCATTTTTTGCTCATTCCTGCCCTCCCCAGCCCTCAGGAGCTCTCTAAAAGCTTCCTAGAGGCTATCCATGCCCTGCACGGCCATTTTAGTGAAGGGGGCGGAGTTTCAGGAGGCAAAAAACGCTGCATTCAGTGTATAAGACACACCCTGATTTTCAGCCTCTTTTTTGAGGGAAAAAGGTGCGTCTTATATTCTGAAAAATACGGTACATCCTTAATTCTTTTCATTATATAGACAGGGTAACCACAATATCCAGAAGCTCTAAGGGGGAACAAGCCCTCTGAAAAGCATTGTGTAAAACAATACAAGGCAGGCAAAATGTGCACGATGTGGGGAAAGGAGCTATTCATTATTCAGGGCTCTGTTAATCAGTATTTAAAATCTATTGCTGGCCTGGTACAATAAACAGAGTGCCAGGATGAGCTATGAAGTCCTCCTCCTGCACCTACGTGTTACTTAAACTTATGTGGCTGATGCAACTAAGGTAAAGGATAAAAACACTTGTAAATATGAAAGTGCTGCAAGTGAAATACAAATGCCTGCTCCACTTTTCATGCTGGAGTTTATCTGCCATTTCTCTCTGCTCATCAAGAATATTTTCCAATTCTGGAAACAAACAATTAGATGAATTTCCTAGATATTCTAAATGTTTTTAAAAAAAGGCTTTTAAAAAGTAACAAATTTGGGAACTATTAACAAATTGCTCTAAACACTTTTTTTTCTCCTTTCATATATGTGAACAACGTGAGAAGCAATCACAGATTCAGCTCGCAGCAATTTCCACAATCAGGGGAACTGCAAAAGCATTTCTATAATGACAGAAATGCTGTGATGCACACCAATGCCACCAAAATTGTGTTCTCCCATTCCTCTTCCTTCCACACCAGACGTATATTAATTTTGTGCTGTATGCTATATGTAAAGCTAGAAAAAAATAGTACAGGTAGTCCTTGAGTTACGACCTCAATTGAACCAAAAAATTATGTAGTTAAGTGAAACATTTATTGAGTTTTGCCTCATTTTACGACTTTTCTTGCCACAGTTGTTAAGTGAATTATTGTGTTTCTTAAGTTAGCAACATGGTTGTTAAGTGAATCTGGCTTCCCCACTGACTTTGCTCATCAGAAGGTCGCAAAAGTGGATGACATGACCCGGATCATAGCAACCATCATAAATATGAACAATTATCAAGTGTCTGAATTTGATCACATGACCATGGAGATGCTGCAACGGTCATAAGTGTGAAAAACGGTAAGAAGTCACTTTTTTCAATGCCATTGAACAGTCACTAAATGAACTGTTGTAAGTCGAAGACTACCTGTAATTTGCAATTTAAAGCATGCTAAAGAATAGCTTACACACTTAGTGTGTCAAACACACTTAGGAAAGCCTGGAAATATCATCAGCCAGGAGTTTTCTGTTTTCCCTTTTTATTTTCTTGATATACACTACATCCAGTAGGACTTCAGAATATTATTTTATACCTGTTACATATGTCAATGGAGAGCTTACAATTTGCTCAAATTACAGATCCAAATAGTTGCAGAACCAGTGTGTGTGCTTCTTAAAATAGCCTTGCTCCCACACAGCCATATTTTTCACCTGAATTGCAGTTGTAGGTGTAAAGGTGGGCTGTCCATTTATGCTTCAACCTGTCCTCCCCAACACCAGCTCCGAGAATTGAAGAATTTCAAGACTAGAAAACTGACTCTAAAAACAGCCTGGGTGTAAATCATATTGTCTTTATTTAAAAATAACATGTTTATTTTTGCATTTATCTGTTCCTTTCACCTTTCTTTGTTGTCATCATTCCCAGTTTCCAAATCATAGTTAGAATGGGAATGTTACATTTCCCAATTGACATTTTCAGGACTAAGAAAATCCTGCCAGAACAAGTTAATGTAATCTGCCAAGAGAAGTCTTTGAATTAGGAGGATTAGCAATTGCAATTTTAATAATAAGTGTAGTAACAACAACAATACATTTTTTTCAAAACCCAATATGCAAGTGTTTTAGATGACATAAATGAATCTAGGAAAGAAAATCTGCTATGAATTTTACATCATCATGATCATGATCATGATCATGATGATGATGATGATGATGATGATGATGATGATGATGTTATCCATTTAGTCATGTCCGACTCTTGGTGATTGTATGGGCCAGGTCTCACCACATCTTCTGATCGGCACTACTTCTTTTAAATATTTCTATGCCAGTGATGGTGAACCTTTTTAGCACCGAGTGCCGAAAAGGGAGTGTGCGTGTCAAAGCTACAACCTGGAAGAGGAGTTGCCCAGGGGGCATGCACGCACCAGAAATTGTATTTCTGGTTTCCAGCACACACATGTGCGCTGGCCAGCTAGTCTTCCAGTTACTGGCATGCATGCGTGTGCAACAATCATCTAGCCGGCGTGCATGCGCACAGCGGAAAACAGAAGACCAACTCTTCCAGTTTCCAGCACTGCCACATGCATGAAAGCTATTTGATCATTGCACATGCATGCGTGTCAGATACCAGGAAAAGGAAGAGCTGATGCTGTGCATACCAGGCAACATTGCTCCGTGTGCCACTCTGGGCATGCATGCCATAGGTTCACCATCATGGTTCTATGCTCTGGCTGGTGTCACTTTGATGGTGTCCAGACACTGTGATCTTTGATGGTCTGGTTTCTTTCTACTGCTAACTCTTCCAAATATAATTGCGTGGAATTCTCCCACATGACATGGCCAAAGTAAGTGAGACAACTTAATGATAAACACTTGATAATGCTCAATGATTAATCAATACTTTGCTTTTTGTTTAATAAATATATTTATTTGCTTTTTAATGTATTAATACTTAGCAATACACTTCCATTTAGAGTTAAGTCCACATCAGAGACATCAGAGACAACTAGCACAGTATTTCACTGATATAGGACTCATTCTTCTAAGCTACACCACAATAGTTACCTGCATTTGTTACTACCCAAAAAAAAAAAAAATGGAGCCAGAGCCAAAACACTGCCCGTATCCAAAGCAATATTTTCATGAAAAGGTCCCATTTGAATAGAGCGTAGGAAACTAGTTTGTTTTTCTACAAGACTAAGATTCTCATGGATAACAAAGGAAATAAATTAAAGACCAGGACATAGTTCATTCTGAAAAGAGGATTACTCCCATTACATCCATAGCTTATTACAGAAGGAACAGAAATGAGTAAGAACGACCAGATTCAGAAGCAAGTAATCCATCTGTTAACACAAGTCAACTCCATAATCAACTTACAATGCTCAAAATGAATTTGGAAAGTACCGATCCAAACCAGCCATATATCTGTTCTTATCTGTTCTTCCAAATTATGAACTAGCACTCCAAACAACAGCATGGCAGAAGCACCTATCATTTTTAACAAACTTAATTTGCTAAATAAGCTACTTTGGAAAGTTCTTTTTCTATGACAGATCATTTATTTCCCTATAGATCTAATAAATATGTATGCTCGTGACAGATCTTCATTCCTATCCAAATTTTCCTGCAAAGACAGAGAATGCTGAAGAGGGCAGCTTAGCTTTCTGGAACCACTTTTCACTTTCTGAAACCAGACATATGAAAAAGATTTGTTCTGATCCTGAGATCACCAAACCCTTGCTACCAAGTGGGATTCTATAATTTTCTCCTGTGGTTCTCTTCTTGGAGGAACTAAATCTGTCTCCCACTACCTGGAAAAGACTGCAGAGAGAAGAATCCCAGAAAGATGGATAGAGCTGCAGATGAGTTGGTAACCAAGCAATTGATGGTTGGGGGAGAAGAAGAGATGTTAAATTTTCTGTAACTAAGGCAATTCTCACTGAAGCTGGTTCTTAGCAGTTTATTGCAACGAAGTGAACTTTTTAAGAGGTAACCAGAAAGAGCTATATTCCCATCATTAGGCATGTTTCACACACATAATAAACTAGTTCTTTGGACCACAGCATAACTACATTCTATGGTACAATTAGAATTTCATTCATGTACGAAGAATTTTCCACCCACTTGGGCCACCGTGAGATCCCTTTGAAACACAAGGCGAACCACAAAAAAGAGACAGACAATTACAGATGAGAAACAAAAAATACTTTATTATGGAATGGATTAAATGATACCACCTTTTGCTTTGGGTCTTATAAATACCAGCACGCAATCTTGGATGCACCCTCATGTACACAGCCAAAATTAAACAGCTTTTAGTAGTGCTGAAAGATAAAAATCCCTGTGGAGGCCCTTCCCCTTTTGGCCAGGTCACAAAGCAGTCCTGGCCACCTCTGATCTGCAGGCACGCCTCAAAATAAAGATACAAACAAGTCACTTAAACTTTCTCTGACTACATTGACATGTGGGCTGCACCCTGATGTTTAGACCCCCCCCTCACAAAAATCCAAATCCAGGCAAAGATCAACACAGGGCAAAAATGATTTTCCTCCCCAGACTTCACACTCCAGGTAGGAATATCTTTATTTATGCATTTAACGTGTTTCACATCAAAGTTTATTACTTCACATT